TAATCCCAGCTACTTGGGAGGCTGAGGCAGGAGAATCGCTTGAACCCGGGAGGTGGAGTTTGCAGTGAACTGAGATCGTGGCATTGCACTCCAGCCTGGGTGACAGGGTGAGACTCTGCCTCAAAAAAAAAGAAAAAAACACTTTTTAGAGCAGCTCTCTAATTTTGCATTCTGGATTTTTTTTTTTTTTTTGAGGCAGAGTCCCGCTCTGTCGCCCAGGCTGGAGTGCACTGGCGTGATCTTGGCTCACTGCAAGCTCCACCTTCTGGGTTCACACCATTCTCCTGCCTCAGCCTCCCGAGTAGCTGGGAATACAGGCGCCTGCCACCTCGCCCAGCTAATTTTTTGTATTTTTAGTAGAGATGGGGATATTCACCGTGTTAGCCAGGATGGTCTCAATCTCCTGACCTTGTGATCTGCCTGCCTCGGCCTCCCAAAGCATTGGGATTACAGGTGTGAGCCACCACGCCCGGCCCGCATTCTGGATGTTTCATTCCACACTAAAGCTATTTTTGCAGATAGTTGTGCTGTGGTGAATCTTTTTTTTTTTTTTTTTTTTTTTTTTTTTTGGACGGAGTCGCTCTGTGGCCAGGCTGGAGTGCAGTGGCCGATCTCGCTCACTGCAAGCTCCGCCCCGGTTCACGCCATTCTCCTGCCTCAGCCTCCCGGTAGCTGGACACAGGCCCCAACCGCGCCCGGCTATTTTGTATTTTAGTAGAGACGGGGTCACCGTGGTCTCGATCTCCTGACCTTGTGATCCGCCCGCCTCGGCCTCCCCAAGTGCTGGGATTACAGGCGTGAGCCCGCCCGGCCCGTGCTGTGGTGAATCTTAAGAAAAAAATGAAACAGCAGTCCACTCAGAGGAGGCTCTTCATGGGCCAGCGTTTCCATCTCCTGGTTGCACTTGAACAGTCCCTGGAGAATGAGAGCAATTAGAAAGGTTACTGTTTCTATGGCAGTTGGGAAGAAAGTGTAAGACATTCTAGATAAAATTGGCTGTTCGGCGAGCCAGGGTCAGTGCACAGTGCTGAGCGGTGTGATCATTTGCTGGGGTGATTTGGGCCGGTTGTTGGGCTGGGCGTTGACTCAGTTCCCCAGGACTTCTGTGGCACCCACACTTTGTCAGTCATTCACAGCCTCTGATTCTCTGTTCTGTGGGGGTCCAAGCCCATCTTCCATTGTGCTACATAGCTGGGTCTCTTGGCGGTAAATCTTGGAAGTTCTGTCTGAAGCAGTGATTCCTAAACTTGTTCAGGTGTCAGAAACCCAACCAGTCTTGGCCTTCCGGGGCCTACCAAGAACACAGCTGAACTGAGTGCTGCATGTGTTCTGACAATACGAGGTGCATTAGATACTGAATCTAGCGTAAACAGACAAGCATCCAGGGTGTGTCATGAAGTTTGTAGGAAGAAAGAGAAGTGGAGAAAGCGGTATCACTTTAAGCTTTGCTGTAAATGAGAAAAGCCAGCTTAATCCAATTTGAGGCCAGAGATCCTTGGGAGATGGTTGAGAGTATTTTGCAACAGTTGGACCGATCAGCTATGGTTCACAGTCTTATGAAAACAGCTAGTAACGGCCAGGCACGGTGGCTCACAGCTGTAATCCCAGTACTTTGAAAGGCGGAGGCGGGCAGATCACTGAAGTCAGGAGTTTGAGGCCAGCCTGGCTAACATGGTGAAATCCTGTCTATACTAAAAACAAAAATTTTCTGGGTGTGGTGGTGAGCACCTGGAATCCCAGCACTGTGGGAGGCCAAGGTGGGTGGTTCATTTGAGGTCAGGAGTTTGAGACCAGCCTGGACAACATGGTAAAACCCTGCCTCTACTAAAAATACAAAAATTAGCCGGGTGTGGTGGCGGGCACCTGTCGTCCCAGCTTTTCAGGAGGCCGATGCAGGAGAATTGCTTGAGCCCAGGAGATGGAGGCTGCAGTGACCCGAGATTGTGCCACTGCACTCCAGCCTGGGCAACACAGTGAGACTCTGTCTCAAAACAAAAGTTTCATATCTCAGACACCAATAATTTAGTGTTCAATAAAGTAGGAAGTGAGTGATATAACTTCTTAATATTGTAAAACATGCATACCTCATCAAACAATAAAAGAATGTAGTAAGATAATAGGATGTAAAACTAACACACAGGATCAAAAGCCTTCATTCCCACAAACAATAATCAGAAGATGTAACGGAAGAGGAAAACCCCATTTACAATGGCAATAAAGATAAAACACATAGGAATAAACTTAAGACATGTAAGACCTATATTGGATAAAACTTTAAAATGTGTTTCATGAAGTTTTATTTTGGAAGAAAAGAGAGAAAAATGTGTGTTTCATGAAAGGTACAATAGTAGATGCAAATCAATGGAGAGACAGTCCTTGTTCTTGGAAGACTCAACAACCAAGAAAGACGGGTGTAAGACATAACGTGAGAGTATGTGAGAATGACCCTAGATAGCCTTACAAGGGTATCATCTGACAATGTGTGAGGATGACCCCAGATAGCCTTACACGGCTATCTTGTAAAGGATATTCAGATTTACCTATTCAGGGCCCATCTTGTGCTCACCCTGCCACAGCCCTGGGATCAGCCATTTCTCCCAGAAGCCCTGGTCCATGTTCATGGGGGATGGTATTTAGGAGCCATGCTCTGGGTGCTAGGAGTACTCAGTGCCACTGGGATGTCATTGTGTCCTACCAGGTCCCTCCCACAATGCGTGGGAATTATGGGAGCTACAATTCAAGATGAGATTTGGGTGGGGACACGGCCAAACCGTATCAATTTCTAATTTCCAAAAATAAAAATGAAAAAATTTTCTTTTCATTTTTTTTTTTTTTTTTTTTGAGACAGAGTCTAACTCCATCACCCAGGCTGGAGTGCAGTGGTGTGATCGTAGTTCACTGCAGCCTCCATCTTCCAGGCTCAAGCAATCCTTCCACCTCAGCCTCCTAAGTAGCTGGGACTATAGGCGTGCACCACCACACCCAGCTAATTTTCTATTTTTATTTTTGTAGACACGAGGTCTCACTATGTTGCCCAGGCTGGTCTTGAACTCCTGGTGTCCATCCATCCTCCTGACTCAGCCTCCCAAAGTGCTGGGATTACAGGCCTGAGCCACTGCACCTGGCCATGATTCACTTTTTTTTTTTTTTTTGAGCTAGAGTCTTGCTCTGTTGCCCAGGCTGGAGTGTGCAGTGGTATGATCTCGGCTCATTGCAACCTCCACCTCCCGGGTTCAATTGGTTCTCATGCCTCAGCCTCCCGAGTAGCTGGGACTACAGGTGCATGCCACCATGCCTGGCTAATTTTTGTATTTTTAGTAGAGATGGAGTTTCACCACATTGGCCAAGCTGGTGTTGAACTCCTGACTTCAAGCGATCCATCCACCTCAGCCTCCCAAAGTGCTGGGATTACAGGTGTGAGTCACCGCACCCAGCCGACTTCTAATGAACAGAATATGGCAAAAGCCCAGGGAAGTCACTTCTGATATTAGGGTGCAAGGAGACTGTGACATCCGTCTTGTGTGTGCCCCCGCTTGTGTGTGCTTGCTCCGACTAAGGCAAGCCAGCTGTGGTGTTGTGAGCTTCCTTGTGGAGAGGCCCATGTACCAAGGAACTGAGGGTGGCCTGTGGGCAGCAGCCAGCAAGGCTGAGGCCCTTCTCCAGTGACCTTGGAGGACTGAGTCCTTACAATATCCATGGGTGTGAGCTTGTGAGTGGATCATTCCAGACAAGCTTTCAGATGAAACCACAGCCCTGGGAGACACCTTGACCACAACTTGCTGAAACCTTGAGGCAAAGGGCACAGAGCTCAGCCACACCCACTTTCCTGACCCCGGATACCATGAGAAAATAAATGTTCTTTTAGGCTGCTAAATGTTGGGTTAATTTGGTATGCAGAAATAGGAAACAAATACAATCTTCTACCAGTAAGGAAGAGTGCACCTTCTTTGCTTGTCACCTTTGGATTCCTGAGGCAACAGTACATCATCCTTAATATGGCTGCGAAGCACTTAACTTACTGGGTGACTTGAAAGCGTGCTTTTTTTTTTTTTTTTCTTTTTTCTAGACGGGGTCTGGCTCTGTTGCCCAGGCTGGAGTGCAGTGGCTTGATCATAACTCACTGCAACCTCCACCTCCTAGGCTCCAGCGATCCTCCCACCTCAGCGTCCGGACTATCAGGAACTACAGGCACATACCACCACATCCGGCTAATTTTTATTTTTTTAATTAATTAATTTATTTTTTTTTTATTTTTTTTTAAAGACAAGAGTCTCACTCTGTCGCCCAGGTTGGAGTGCAGTGGCACGATCTCGACTCACTGCAACCTCCACCTCTGGGCTCAAACGATTCTTCTGCCTCAGCCTCCGGGGTAGCTGGGATTACAGGCAGCTGTCACCACGCCTGGCTAATTTTTGTGTTTTTAGTAGAGACGGGGTTTCGTCATGTTGGCTAGGCGGGTCTGAACTCCTGAGCTCAAGCCTGCCTCGGCCTCCCAAAGTGCTGGGATCCCAGGCGTCAGCCACCGCGCCCTGACACAAGTATTATTATAAGAGTACCCACCCTGTATATTTTTTAGCACCTAGTTTGAGTCCTAGCCGTGTTGATCCCAATAGCCATAGCTCATCCATTTCGACTCCGAGTGGAGTTCCATGCCCTGGACCCTCGGCGGAGGCCTCATCCCGGGACGCCTGCCTGGCAGGGGCAGCTGCACCCCAGACCCCCCCATCGCTGCGGGGCCCAAACCTAGTCCTCTGCACGTGTTCCGGGCAGGGCGGGTTGCCTTGGCAACCAGCAGCTCTTCTAGCAATTCTAGGCCCCTAGAGATGGCGTCACTAGCCCGCGCCCGGGCCTGGACCCGCCCTCCGTGCTGCCGTCGCTTGCCATTAGCCGGCGGAGAGACGGACGCTGACCTCGTCCAATGGGAGGCTCCGCGCTCCTGAAGGCGGGACTAACGCTTACCTGGGGCGCGAGTCCCTGCCGGAAGCCGGCGTCCACGACGCAGCTGCTCAAGCTTGGGTGGGCGAAGTGGGCGCAGGTAGGAGAGTGGGGCTGCAGCGGGGTGGCCGGCGGGTCAGGGCGCCGAGGTGATCCAGAGCCCCGGGGTGGGCTCCCGCGGGGCTCCGCCCCGTCCACGTGGGTGCGCGGAGGCCTGGCGTGGCGCGATTGGGCGGCGGCCCTGGGGTCCCGGGTGCTGGAGAGGCTGGTGCGTCCGGTGCGGTCCCGCGCGGGCTCCGACACTGGCACCCCCTCTGGGTTAACTCAGTGCGGGCGGGAGGAAGGACGCCGCTGGCTCCTAGGTCTCAGGTTGTCAGCCCTCGCTGTGGCTCTGGTTTAATTGTCTTCCCCTGAAGACTCCCTGATTGCCTTCCGAGGCTTTCAGCTCCCACTTTCTCTCTTTTTTTATTTTTGAGTCAGTGTCTCGTTGTGTCACCCAGGCTGGAGTGCAGTGGCGTGATCATAGCTTACTGCGGCCTCCACCTCCTGGACTCAAGCTGTCCTCCCGCCTCATCCTGCCCAGCAGCTGGGACCACATGCGCGCGCCACCACACCCGGATAATTTTTTAAAATGTTTTTTGTAGAAGCGGGGTCTCACTATGATACCCAGGCTGGTCTCGAATTCTTGGTCTCAAGCGATGGATCCTCCCGCCTCGGCCTCCGAAAGTGCTGGGATTACAGGAGTGAGCCATCAAGCCCGGCCTCACTTTCCATCATAAGCATGCTTTCCATTCCTTCCTTCCTTCCTTCCATCTTTCATTCGTTCGTTTTTAAAAAACGTTCATTGGGTTCCTCCTGCGCTGTTCGGGGCATTGGGCTACAGCTGTCAACAAGTGGAGACAAGTCTGTGATCTAGTGAACTTCCATTCTGGAGGGGAGAGACAGATGACCAAGGTGCACAGAGCAGGTGGTGATAAGTGCCGTGGAGAAGATGAGAACAGGGGGTTCGAGAGTGGAGAGGAAGCAGAAGGAGGAGTGAGGCACCAGAACATTCCATGCCGGGCAACAGCAGGGAGCCCAGTGTGGCTGCGGCCAATTTGGGAACAGAGAAAGAGGAGGTGAGGCCCAGAGATGCGGGGAGGGGCCAGGGCAGTGGTGTGGACCTTACCAACTGGCAAGGACCTTGACTTTCCCTTCAAGTGGAAGGGGACAGCTTGGGAAGTTTTTGAGTGGAGGTGACACACAATCTGATTTAGGGCTTTAAAAGCCATCCTGAGAGGTGGTGGCTTGGACCGGGTACCTACGGGATCATAAGGGAGTCACATTCTGGGTGTATTTCAGTGGTAAACCGACGGGAGGTGGTGGTAGGTTGGATGAGCGTGTGAAAAAGAGAGGAGTTGTGGATGGACCAAGGTTTTAAGCTTGAGCTACGACGTGAACCTCATCAGATGGATGTTTTTGGAGAGGATGAACACCGGGAAGCTCAGGTTTGTGGAGGGTGACCAGGGTATTGATTACAACTTCTTAAGTTTGAGATGATATGTGTGTAGATGACACATATAGGTACGTATGTATGGTTTTATATATATAGTTATGTATATACACAGTTTATACACACACACACACACACACACACATATATATATATATTTTTTTGAGACAGAGTCTCACTCTGTTGTCCAGGCTGGAGTGCAGTGGCGTGATCTCAGCTCACTGCAACCTCCACCTCTTGGGTTCAAACGAATCTCCTGCCTCAGCCTCCCAAGTAGCTGGAATTACAGGCATGCACCAGCACACCCAGCTATTTTTTGTATTTTCAGTAGAGACGGGGTTTCACCATGTCCCAGGCTGGTCTCCAACTCCTGACCTCAAGTGATCTCCCTGCCTCGGCCTCCCAAAATGCTGGGATTACAGGCGTGAGCCACTGTGCCTGGCCATACACATATATATATATACGTGTGTGTGTGTGTGTACATGTATGTATGTATACATCTGTATAAACAGTGTAAACAGAGATCAGGAGTTCAGGTATGTACATGTATATATATGTCTAGGTACATGTATATGACCGCATATATGTTTAACTGTATACATGCACAGTTGAGTTGGCGTGTAGTTCAAGGATAGGGTTAATAAGAGACCTGTAAAGAGAGGAAACAAAGTCATCAGCATCTAGTTGTATTTGAAGCCACGTGACCGAATGGGATCACGAGGGAGTGAGGAGACTGAGCACTAAGCCTGGGTCCTTCAGTGTTCAAGGACAGGCGATTAAGAGGTGGGAGCAAAAGCAGGAGTTGTGCTGTCTGTGCTGATGTCGGGTGAAAAACGCCTGTCAAGAGAGAAGGAAGGATCAACAGTCCAATGCTCTTAGGTCAGATAAATTGCATACTGAGAGTTGGCAATGGGATTTAGCCAGGTGGGTGTCATTGTGGCAAGGTGGTTGGGGCAAAAGCCTGATGGGATGGGGGGAGGAAAGGAGTCAGAGACAGGGCAGGTAGATGACTGTTTCTTTCCTCCCCTCCCCTCCCCTCCCCTTCCTTTTTCTCTCTGTCTCTCTCTTTTTCTTTTTTTCTTTTCTTTTCTCTCCTCTTTCCTCTCATTCTGTCGCCTAGGCTAGAGTGCAGTGGCGCAATCTTGGCTCACTGTAACCTCCACCTCCCTGGTTCAAGTGCTTCCCCTGTCTCAGCCTCCCAAGTAGCTGGGACTGCAGGCACCCGCCACCACACCCAGCTAATTTTTGTTTATTTTTAGTTCAGACAGGATTTCACCATATTGGTCAGGCTGGTCTCGAACTCCTGACCTCAGGTGATCTGCCCGCCTTAGCCTCCCAAAGTGCTGGGATTACAGGTGTGAGCTACTGCACCCAGCCTTGCCTTTTTTTTTTTTTTTTTTTTTTTTTTAAGAGACAGGGTCTCTCACCCTGTCACCCAGGCTGCAGTGTAGTGGCATGATCATGATTCGCTGCACCCTTGAACTCCTGGGCTGAAGTGATTCTCCTGCCTCAGCCTCCCAAGTAGCTGGGACTACAGGCGCGGGCCACTATGCCCAGCTAACTACAAAATATATGTATTTTGGGGCCAGGTCTGGTGGCTCACACCTGTAATCCCAGCAGTTTGGAACGCCAAGGTTGGAGGATCGCTTGAGCCCAGGAGTTTGAGACCAGTCTGGGCAACATGATGAAACCCCATTCCTACAAAAAATACAAAAATTAGCTGGGCATGGTGGCGTACACCTGTAGTCCCAGCTGCTGCAGAGGCTGAGTTGGGAGGATCGCTTGAGCCTGGGCAGTTGAGGCTGCAGTGAGCTATGATCACGCCACTGCATTCCAGCCAAAATCTTTTTTGTAGTGACAGGGTTTCACTATATTGCAAGGCTGGGCATACGGCTTGATTTTTTGTAGAAAAAATATGGCACAAATTTGGTTCTCACAACAAACTTTATAGCAAACAATCTTTCTCCCATTTATTATTATTGTAAAGTAGCACGTGGGTGTTATATTTTTATTTAATTAATTAATTAATTAATTAATTTTTTGAGATGGTGTCTTGCTCTGTCGCCCAGACTGGAGTGTGGTGGCGCGATCTTGGCTCACTGAAACCTTCACCTCCCAGGTTCAAGTGATTCTCCTGCCTCCGCCTCCAGAGTAGCTGGGACTATAGGCACATGCTACCACGCCTGGCTAAGGTGTTACATTTTTTAATTTATGGTAAATAACTTGAGAGGGATTATAGTTTTTATTTTTCCCAGTATATCGAGGGGTTGTGGAACCATCACCACAATCTAATTTTAAAACTTTTTCCTTCTCCCACAAGAAATCCTGTAGCCCTTCGTGGTCACCCACTCTTCCCTCCGCTTGCCCTATCCCTAAATAATCTCTGATCTCCTTTCTGTCCGTATAATTTACATATCCTGAGCTTTTCACAGAAGTGGAATTTTGCAGTGCGGAGTCTCGGGGGTCTGGCTTCTCTCGCCCAGCACAGTGTCTTCTGGGTTCATCGTGTTGCGGCACGTGTCAGTGTCCCATTTCCTTTGGTGGCCGAATAGTATCCCCTGTGCGAATGCGCCACGTTTGGTTCCCCCTTCGTCCATGGATGCACAGACACGGAGGTTGTTTCGACTGCTTGGATATTAGGCACGTACTGCCGTGGACATCATTGTACGTTTTTATGGAGATGTGTTCGTTTCTCTTTGATTGGCATTTCCTAAATGGCCCATGATGCTGAGCTGCGTTTCATGTGCCTGTTGGCCATTCGTGTATCTTTGGAGAGACGTCTCTTCAGATCCCTTCCCCATTTAAAAACCGGGTTATTTGTCTCCTATTGTTGAGTTGTTAGAGGTCTTTATATATTCTAGTTACTAGTGTCTTGTCAGATATGTGATTTGCAGGTATTTTTCTCCAATACTATGGGTGGTCTTTTTTTTTTTTTTTTTAAATACAGGTTCTCACTTTGTTGTCCAGGCTGGGTTGTAGTGGCATAATCATGGCTTATTACAACCTCGACTTCCTGAGCTCAGATCATCCTCCCACTTCAGCCTCCGAGGTAGCTGGGACTCCAGGTGTGCATCACCATGCCCAGCTAATTTTTTGTATTTTTTGTAGAGATGGAGCCTCACTGTGTTGCCCAGGCTGGTCTTGAACTCCTGGGCTCAAGCAGTCCTCCCACCTCCCAAAGTGCTGGGATTAGAGGCGTGAGCCACCGTGCCCGGCCTGGGTTTTCTTTTTGCTTTGTTTTGTGTAGAGATGCGGTCTTGCTGTGTGGTCGGGACTGGTCTGGAACTCCTGGCCTCAAGTGATCCTCCTGCTTCAGCCTCCCAAAGTGCTGGTATTACAGGCATGAGCCACCGCACCCAGCCTCTTTACTTTCTTGCTGGCATCCTTTGCAGCACAAAAGTTTTACATTTTGTTGTAGTCCAATTTATTTTCTTTTTCTTTTGCTGCCTGTTTTTGGTGGCATATGTGAGAGGCCATTGCCTAATCCAAGGTCATGAAGATTTACTCCTATGTTTTCTTCTATAATTTTATAGTTTTAGGTCTTCCATTTAGGACTTTGATCTATTTTGAGTTAGTTTTGTGTATGGTGTGAGGTAGGGCTCCAAATCAGTTCTTTTATATGTTGGTAGCCAGTTGTCCTGGCACCATTTGTCTTTCTCACTGAATTGTCATGGCACTCTTATTGAAAATCAGTTGACAGTAAATGAAAGTAAACGTCATTTTCCATAACAAACATTCATTATCTCAAAGCTTGAGTCACTTTCCCTTAGAACTATTAAAATAAACTTTTCCATAATATGGAAAAGTCTTTTATCCCTTTTTAGCAAATAGACATAGTGATTAAGTTTTTAAATGATAACTTACAGAATGAATATAGATTTGACTTAACTTTTATAGTAATGGGTATGTAAATATTTGCTGAACTTTTCTTATTTCTCTCACAAGGTAATTGGCTGGCATGGTCTTTTGTCTTTTCAGAACCCCTGTGCCAACAGTATCTCATTCTTCCAAGATTTCTTATTACACAGCTAATTGAAATCTGTAGCCTCTGGCTTCTGATGCTTTTTAAATTTAAGGCTCAATTAAAGAATAAGGGGCTTGGGGTTTTCTGATTCCGCAATAGGAATATTCTTTCAGTGTGCTGTTACCAGTGACAGCCCCAAGTGGGATGGAGGGAGCCCTTGTGCAGGCTCTGCCCTTTGGACGGGGCCTTTGCTCTTCAACTGTCTCCTTGGTTTCTGGCGTAACCTAGCATCCCAGGCCTGCCTTGACCTCCCCTGACTCTTTTTCACAGCTAGTGGTATTTAGACCACACCTGGGCTCTGGGTGGGCTCAGTGCTGCCAGGCCCTTTCCATGATGATCATCCTTTAACTGCCCCTCTCCTGTCACCTTTCCTGCTTTACTTTTTTTTTTTTTTTAAACATAAGGTCTCATTCTTTTGCCCAGGCTGGAGTGCAGTGGTGCAATCATGGCTCACCACAGCCTCGACCTCCTGGGCTTAAGCAATCCTCCCACCTCCACCTCCTGAGTAGCTGAGACCACAGGTGTGCATCACCAAGCATAGCCAATTTTTAAAAATGTTTTGTAGACATGGAGCCTCACTATGTTGCCCAGGCTGGTCTCAAACTCCTGGGCTCAAGCAGTCTGCTCACCTCAGCCTCCCAGAATGCTGGGATGACAGGCGTGAGCCACTGTGCCCGGCCTGTTTTAATTTTGGGGTGGGATTTGGCTTTCTTGGTGTTCCCTGGCTTACTGACGCGGTCCTTTGTGGGTGTGTGTCTGAGCTGTCTGGGCTGGAGGCCATGTGGTGAAGCAGCGTGCTGGTTGTTGAGTTTCTGTCTCTCAGCTCCCCAGCGCCTCTGTGGTACTCCCCCACCCCCACCCACTCGGGGGCCTATATAGCCTGGGGCTCTGCAGGACACTTTTCTGTTCTCAGCTCCTTTTAAGGCTCTACCCAGTAGGGGCAGCAGGGGAGACTGGGAGCTGGAGGGTGGGGAGGAGTGTAAGTAAGGAGGAGTGTGGGTGAGGGGGTGGCCCTGGGGAGGGTGGGGACAGGAAGGGAGGGGTGGGGACAGGGACATGGGGTCGGGCGAGGGCTTCTTCTGCTCCTGCTGTCCTGTCTGAGCGAGCCCATGCAGGAGGCTTCGCTGCAGCAGCAGGTGTGGGCCGGGCTCCTGCTTCTCCCTCCTAGAAGCAGCCCGTTCCCTGCCCGCACCCCACCCCAGGTTCTTCCTTAGGTCCCAGCCACAGCCGCCAGTACCCCTCCATCAGGGACCCAGGGCCTGCTACCCCAGCCCCTCCAGCAGGCTCCCAGGTCTGGTGGCCTCAGCTGCCTCTTTCGACTCCCTCTTAACACAGTCCACAAAGGACACGGGTTCTGCCATCCCTGGACTTCTCCGTCTTGGTGTGGTGTTCTAGAGACAGCTGTGCTGGAGAAAGGAGGCCTAACCACGTGCCCCTCGAATGCTGCATCCACCCTCGTACGTGGCCTGCTCCATGCTCCTTGGATGCTCAGAGGAGATCCCAGACTTAGGGTGGTCCTTGAGCCCCTCCACCAGAGGTGGCCAGGTGTCCTGTGATGGGCAGGGCTGGCACCCACAGCCCGGGTGGTGCCACAGCTTCCCTAGTTGATGGGGAGCACGAGTGAGCCCATGATAGGAGAAAGTGAAAACAATTCAAAATATTCAGTGATTAGAGAGCAGGCAGATTTTCACTTTTGGGAAATTATGATACTGTCACTGAAGATGGTATTTCTCTCAATCTTAAAAGCTTTGTGTTCATGTTCTGTTAGAAATATAGAATATATAATCCATGTATGATTGCAGCTGTGTTAAATAAAAGCAGTCAGAAAAAAGACCGAACGGGGCCGGGCACGGCAGCGCACGGCAGTGGCCCCAGCGCTTGGAGAGGCCGAGGCAGAGGATGGCTTGAACCAAGGGGTGTAAGACCAGCCTGGGCAGCATAGCAAGACCCTGCCTCTACAAAAAATTTAAGTTAGCCAGGCATGGTGGCACACACCTGTGATTACAGCTACTGAGGAGGCTGAGGTGGGAGGATGGCTTGAGCCTGGGATTTTGAGGATGCAGTGATCCAAGATTGTGCCACCGCACTCCAGCCTGGGTGACAGGGTGAGATGACCCGAGATCGCACTGCTGCACTCCAGCCTGGGTGACAGGGTGGGATGACCTGAGATTGCACTGCCGCACTCCAGCCTGGGTGACAGAGTGAGATGACCTGAGATCGCACTGCCGCACTCCAGCCTGGGTGACAGGGTGAGATGACGCGAGATTGTGTCACCGCATTCCAGTCCGGGTGACAGAGTGAGATGAGCCGAGATCGCACTGCCGCACTCCAGCCTGGGTGACAGGGTGAGATGAGCCGAGATCGCACTGCCGCACTCCAGCCTGGGTGACAGGGTGGATGATCCGAGATTGCACTGCCGCACTCCAGCCTGGGTGACAGGGTGAGATGACCCGAGATTGCACTGCCGCACTCCAGCCTGGGTGATAGTGAGATGAGCCGAGATTGTGTCACTGCACTCCAGCCCGGGTGACAGAGTGAGATGAGCCAAGATCCCACTGCCGCACTCCAGCCTGGGTGACAGGGTGAGATGAGCCGAGATCGCACTGCCACACTCCAGCCCGGGTGACAGAGTGAGATGAGCCAAGATCCCACTGCCGCACTCCAGTCCGGGTGACAGAGTGAGATGACCTGAGATTGCACTGCCGCACTCCAGCCTGGGTGACAGGGTGGGATGACCTGAGATCGCACTGCCGCACTCCAGCCCGGGTGACAGAGTGAGATGAGCCGAGATTGCACTGCCGCACTCCAGCCTGGGTGACGGGGTGGGATGAGCCGAGATCGCACTGCCACACTCCAGCCTGGGTGACAGTGAGATGAGCTGAGATCGTGCCACCGCACCCCAGCCTGGGTGACAGGGTGAGACCCTGACTCAAAAAAAAAAAAAAAAAAAAAAAGACGGAAAGAAAATACACCAAAATGTCAAATTGGTTGCCATAGGTGATGAAATGTGGGGGTTTGAGTTTGTTTTAACTTTTATGTTTTCCGTATTTTCTGAAACACTTTTTTTAAAAAACGGGAGAGTGCCCTATTTCTTTTTATTTAAAAATCTTATATGAGCTAAGCCTTTTATTTCCTTATTTTCAGCAGTTTACTTTCTCTGTTGCAGGATGGCACAACAGAAGAGAAAAGTTCCTGAAGTGACGGAGAAAAAGAACAAAAAGCTGAAGAAGGCCTCAGCAGAGGGGCCACTGCTGGGCCCTGAGGCCGTGCCAAGCGTCGATGGAGCCAGCTCCAAGGTAAGGCCGCCAGTGCTTCGCGGGCCCCGCCCTCTGGGATCCACCTGTTTTCTGATCTAGAGGGAGGGGGCGGCTCAGCCTGCTGGTCTCTGTGGAGCAGAGGCTGGAACAGATGCGGAGGCGTGGATGGGCTTGGTGCCTTCCAGAAGCAATTGTAGGACAAAAAAGGATTTTAGTAAATTTTGAGTTGGAACCCCATGATCGCCTTTTTTAGCCATCAGGACACTGCTGTTTTGGGTGCCGTGATGTGTAGGGGACTTGGTGGCGGCATGCAGGATGGTGAGGGGCCTGCAGCAGGCCTTTGGTTGTGCTCTGAGAAGGTGCGGGCGGCAGCTCCTCACCTGGACATGCGCAGGGGCGTGGCCTGAAGCCTGTGGTTAAAAACGCACATCTAGAAATGTTCACGTCGAATAACATGGTTATTGTCCGTATGAAAATCACCCGTTGGCCTCACTTTCTAAACTGTGCAGTGGATTATAAATAACGTTGAGATCTGAGTGTCCACCACCATTCACCTGAAGAGATACGTGAGCCATCTTCTCCTAAAGTTACGCATTTTTATTCCTCGTTTTCTTGAGACACAGTCTCACTCTGTCACCCAGGCTGGAGGGCAGTGTCACCCAGATCACCCAGGCTGGAGTGCAGTGGTGGGATCTTGGCTCAGTGCAACCTCCATCTCCTAGGTTCCAGCGATTCTCCTGCCTCAGCCCCACAAGTAGCCAGGATTACAGGTGCACACCACCGCACCCGACTAATTCTTTGTATATTTTATAGAGATGGGGTTTCACCATGTTGGCCAGGCTGGTCTTAACTCCCGACCTCAAGTGATCCACCCGCCTCGGCCTCCCAACATGCTGGAATTACAGTAGTGAGCCACCGCGCCTGGCCTGCATTTTTATTCTTTTTTTTTTTTTTTTTCCTGAGACAGAGTCTCACTCTCTCACCCAGGCTGGCGTGAAGTGGTGCCATCTTGGCCCACTGCCAGCTCTGCCTCCTGGGTTCACGCCATTCTCCTGCCTCAGCCTCCCGAGTAGCTGGGACTACAGGCGCCCGCCACCACACCTGGCTAATCTTTTTGTATTTTTAGTAGAGACGGGGTTTCACTGTGTTAGCCAGGATGGTCTTGATCTCCTGACCTCATGATCCCACTGCCTCGGACTCCCAAAGTGCTGGGATTACAGGTGTGAGCCACCACGCCCAGCCCTGCATTTTTATTCTTGAAAGTATTTTGTTCTGTCCTGTATCATGTTTATCTTCCACAAAAAGATGCATATACATTTAAATTTGAAAATATAAAAAATTTTTTTACCCACCAAGTTCTGAGTGTTAAAATTTTTCTTCTACGTTGAGCTGTGTTTACCGTTAGTAGCATGCTGTTGATCAAAACAGCATAATCGATTAGGAATTTTCACAAATGATTCTACATAAAGTGAAATCTGATGAGGCATGCATTGCATCGTGGTCAGGGCCTTGTGACCCCGTGTCACCACCCCGCGAAGGGCAGGGCTTTCCGTGTCTCTGCGGTTGGTGCACTCACCTGTGGATCTGCGTGTCATTGTTAGAGAGAAAGCGGGTTTCCACGGGCTGTGTTCCTGTTCCCACGTCAGATTTCAGTGCCACGCAGCCTTGTTGACACAGATGAGTAAATAGGAACGAGAGTGTTGTTGTAGCTTTGTTGCTTAAGTCCTTAAACTTTGAGACCATTCTGTGGTTTGGGGCACATATTTTCAGAATTTATTTTAAAGATCGATTAGTAAGTGACAGCTAGACTGGGTCCCTGAGTTGTTCAAGGGCCCGGTGCCAACTGTTACATTTGTTCACTTCCCCAGGGTGACGCCAGGGTTCAAGCTCTGCTGTTGTTTAGTGCTGGAGGTCTCGTGCCTGGGGCGATGTGCCATTGTGAGATGCGGGGTGGCAGGTGGCCCTGTTTTTCATGAAATGAGAAAAGGGCCGCTGTGCGGAGGGAGGTGGAAAGGGGGAGCCCATGCGGACCCTTCTTCAAAGCGGCTTCCAGCAGGAGGTGGGCACAGCTGGTGCTTGGAGGGGTCCCTGGGCTGCCCAGCCGCAGATGCCTGGGACAGTGGAGTGTGCCTGGTTGCTGGGTGTGGCCCAGCTCACTCTGGGATCCTGTCCAATGAGGCAGTGCTGAGCTCTCGGAAGGTGGTGTAAAATCACGTCCACCACGTCTGTGGCTGCAGGCGGCTCAGCAGGCGTGGGTGGAGGGGAGAAGTGGGGGTACGTGCCTAGAGGAGGTCCTGGCTATCTCAGAGGGTCGTCTCTCACTGCCACCCCCGAGGGGCGAGGGAAGCCAGATAGCACCCCCAGCACAGCCAGACAGCTTGTCCTGGGCTCTCTTTAGCGGAACGCCCCAAGGTCACCCAGAGGCCGAGGCCTGGCAGGTGCAGAGGTCCTATGGCTCCCATGCAGTGGGTCAGGAGGCAGCCCAGCATTCCACCTGAGCCTCGCCCTGAATTTCAGCTCCTCCTCCTCCACGAGCTGTTGAATTCCTGTGTCCCCAGGCCGACTGCCTCTTATTCGCACCTTCTTCACAGCCTGAGGTCCAGTTGTGTGGGTGCTTTTTGGTTTCTGGGTTCCAGATGGACACTGGTTGATCTTTTGTTCTGTGGTTCATTCAGCCCAGTCCCGATTCCACAGAGCCTCAGGCACACAAGACTTTGGTGGGCGTGGCATCACTCTGAACTTTTTGAGTTTAGTGAAGAGGCTTCTGACTCTCCCTTCTTGGTGAACCCTCCTCCTCCCTGATCCCCACACAGGCCGCTGGTCACTGGCAGGACCCCCACGACAGCTCGGCTTATGGTGACTGTGGGCAGAGGTTAAAACTCATACCCAAGTGAGGGGGTGGTGTCTGTCCTTTTGTTTAAGTTCAAGTAATTATTTTAAAGTATGTGATTCAAGTAATTGTTTTTCATTATTAAAATACGTGTTGATTAAAAGAAAGTTGGAAAGCAAGAGGGGAAAGAAGAAAGCCTTTGTTTCCTTCAGCTCCACTTTGAGGGCTGGACTCTGCTGGTCTGGAACACGCGGCTGCCGGCAGAGTCACCACACTCGCACTTGGCTTTCCAGCCACTGGCGCAGAGTTGGTCTCAGGTCCGCCCAGCTGAGCATTGGGAAGCGACCTGGAGCCGGTTCCTTAGCCTTTGGAGGAGCTGGCAGCGGGAAAAGGGCCTGGGAAGCCAGGGAATGTGGTCTCGGTGGGGCCCTGTTCACCAGCAGGGGTCGGCAGCCACGTTCCTTCTGAGGGAGCTGGTGGAAGGAGCTGCCTTCGGCTGGATTCTCTGCAAAGTGCATGCCCCTGTGGCCAGTTTCCAGGCTACTGGGAGGGTTTTCAGATGGGCCTCTGTGACTTCATGTGGGGGCTTGGGGGCTCATGTTCTTGTGTGTCGGGAGCCAGTTTCCACATTAAAGGGGGAATCTCTGCTAATATGGATATTTCCTTGCTGATTCTCCCTGGTTCTCATGGGAAATTGTTAAAAAAAAAAAAAAAAAAAAAAGGGGTTTCAAGCTTTTTTTTGAAGCTGAACCTAAGTGCTTAGAAGGGTGGGTGGCTGGGCCTGGGGAGCAGCATTCCTGGGCTCCGGGGAGCTTGTGGAAAAGTACTGTGCTGGCTCCTCCCCTCCCCCAGTGGATCCTGGACGGACCTCTGGAATCCGCCATCGAGGACGGAGAAGCCTGTGTCCCCCCGTGGGCCATCATGTTGTCCTCCCAGCAGCGTCTGTCCGGGGAGCCTGTGGGTCAGCGGCCGCTCCCGGGGCCCCGTGCAGCCTCTTCCCACAGCATGAGCGCTCTGAGCTTGCGCCAGGATCGCCGCCATGTCCCCAAGTAATGGGACTTCATCGCCCCTTGGGGAGCGCTCCCTCAGCATTCCAGTTCCCACTCAGGCCTGTGGGCTTGGCCCCGGGAAGCCGCCTGGGCCGGCTGCACTCCCTCTCCCAGGCTTCAGTCCCTGGTGCCTCTGTCTGGCACCAGCGAGGTTTGGCAGTTCCTTGGTCCTGGGCCCCAGGGCCTCAGGGTCTTGGCTCTGGGCGTTGTTTGCTGAGCTCACCATCCCAGAGGCCCCTGCTGGCCTGGAGTGCTGGGGAGGTGGGTGGCTTGTGGTGGCTGCGGCAGGAGGAACAGCTACTCCCACGGGCCTGTCTCGTGTCTTGGTGACTGGGCTGTATGATTGCTCGCTGGTCTTAGAAGGGACTGGCACCTGCCGCTTCTGTCCTCCTCAGCTCTGCGGGCAGGAGGTTCTGCCGCTGGGGTTGGCGCCTTGGGCCTTTCCTCTTGTGGACCAGAGGGGTCCCAGGGTTTGCCCTGTCTGCTTCCTGTTTCGTAGCTAAGCCCTCCCCGGGGAGCTGGGGTTTAGGAGTTCTGTCTTCATGTTCCTTTAACCCTTCCAGGCCTGGTTTCCCACTTGAGCGGGTTGTGAGGATGAGGTTTCAAATGACACATGCCCTTTGGGGGGGACTGTGGGGCCCCGGGTGAGCTGGGCCTGCTGTCCAGCATCCCTTGGGGTCGGTGGACGTGGAAGGAGGCGATGTGACTCGGCAGGTCTTTCTGTCTTTCGCCCTCCCCCTCCCTCTCCAGTCCCACTAAAGGGGACCCTTAGCTTCTCTGTTTCTGTCTGAAGCCATGGACCTGTATGCCAGGGAAGGGGGCATACGTGCAACCACCCCATGCAGAGCCAGCCGAATGGCTGCTGGTGTGGAGGCCCCTGTATGACCCGGCCGCTTCCCTGCTGCTGTCAGCGCCGTTTGGCTGCCTGGAGATGAAAGGTGGGCTCCCTCAGTCCAGTGTTGTCAGCAGAACCCCCCTGGCTTCCTCTGCCTCATAAGAATCCCTTATGTGTGCAACACTTTCTGTCCATGCAGGCATCTCAACAGCGATTCTTAGCAGCCTGGAGGTGCCGGGGCAGAGGCCTGGGTGCTGTGCTGGTTTCAGTCACCTGGCCGTGTGTCCTGGGGAAGAGACTCACCCCTGGTTTCTGACTCTGGTTA